TTGTTATTGAAGTTTGTATTTGTTATGTGATTTAGTACTTAAGTCTAAAAGGTAGAAGAATGATTTACAGAGTATTCCAAATAGTCATTCCCTAAGCATAGAAGAGTGTGGAACAGGACTAGGATTGATATTAGGATTAGAATAAAAAAAGAGAGAAAAGAAGAAATAGATTTCTATTTCGATGCTATAGCTTAGATGTTGAAAACATGGGGGGAAAATTGAGTTCATTTAAGAATCAGACTTTGCTTGGATCAGAACATACAAATTATTGTTTACAAAATTAAATGACTTCAGGTACAGAGAGTTCGAAGTTATTACTTGATTTTCAAGAGTAATAATTGATGATGTGACTAATTAGAGCAACATGGTGATAATGATGAACAGAAGAACTGGCTGGTAAAGAATAAGGAAAAATAAGTTTCTTAAGGACCGAAACACTAATATCTTGTTTGTTTACATAACAGAGGCATTTGGGACGACCTGGACCAAGCACTATTGCCTTTATCAGAAGGAGAACCGTGTCTTCACAATGATCCCCTACAACCAGATACAACACAAAATTGTACGTTAACTGTGACGTAGATGTCTCAGCTGTTTCAGTAGTTGGGCAGCTGTTACTGTAATTCATAAGAATAGCCTGTCTAAGGGGGTTATAGGGCAGAATAGCCTAGATTATAAGGAAAACTGAAATTGTTTTTTTTTTTGTTCTGCATATGATATATTGTTTACTAAGCTATGTTGTTTCTTATAGTTTTACCAGTGATTATTGGTTGTATTTGGTTAATCCAACTGATTTATTTCCTCTTTCCTTTCAACCTAAACAGTGCAAATTTGTAAGTTTCATTTTACCTTTACAAAGATTTCTATATTTTGGAGTGTGATATACAGATGTGTTTGCAATTGCACTATGAGGACCTGGTGAAGGGTTATGAAATATTAAATAGTGTGTTGTAATAAAAAAATATATATATAATTAAAAAAATCAGAAGTACAAAAAAAAAAAAAATTGTAGGATGACTTCTGAAACTAATCTTGCTTCCACTAGACTTCAACGGAGACCATGGTACTCAAGTCTTGTGTACGTCGAATGTCAGACAGCATAGATAAGAGGTTCTGCTTTGACCTGACGGCGCAAGACAAGCCTGGTGTCCTGTACACTTTACAGGCACTGTCGGAGGAGGATCGCAAACACTGGATGGATGCCATGGATGGAAAAGAACCTGTAAGTGAATAGATTGAATTGATACAGTTTTTAACATCTGGGTAATTTCATGCTTCCCCATGTTTTTTAGTAATAAAGATTTATTGAATATGTTACTCATAATAAAGATTTATTGAATATGTTACTCAAATGTTGAAGTGATATGGCATTTAATATGGGATAGGTTTATAGAATAGTCAGTACATATAACACCTGAATTGAGTAATTTGGATTTTAAAAATCCCACTTTTTAGTAAGAGGTCAGTGCCAGCTGGGCACATGGAATTTAGGATGCACAAAAATTAGTTATCATAAGATATACAAGATATAACAGCTTTGCAATATGGTTTGAGTGTTAAAATGTAGCACTGGATATTATTTATTAAACAGTAATAAAGTATATATCTGCATGCACGCACACGCACACGCACACGCACACGCACACGCACACGCACACGCACACGCACACCCACACGCACACCCACACGCACACGCACCACACACACACACACACACACACACACACACACACACACACACACACACACACACACACACACACACACACACACACACACACACACACACACACACACACACACACACACACACACACACACACACACACACACGTACCTATTACATATATATACATATATATATATAGATATAGATATAGATATAGATATAGATATAGATATAGATATTATTATTTATTATTTTTTTTTTCCAGATGTATGCGCACCCAAGTGGAGGTGTTGGATCACAAGAAGAAACCTCCCTAGATGAAGTTGGATTGAGTTTCACTTCACGAGCAATAGCAATGCTTGAAAGTAGAGGTATAAAGAACAGGTTTTTTTCCTGGAGTTTTTATTTACTTAACTATATATCTGTATTTTGATTTTCTATCATTATTGAGAATTTTAATCTCGTGTCACATCTTTTGAACAGGGCTGGAGGATCAAGGTTTGTACCGCTTAGTGGGTGTCTCCAGTAAAGTATCAAAGCTCCTTGCATTGGGCCTTGACCGGCGAAAATCAGAGAAATTGATGCTTGATGACCCAGCCGAGTGGGAGGTGAAAACCATCACATCTGCCATTAAGCAGTACTTCCGTAATCTTCCGGAACCCCTAATGACATACAAGCTTCATAGTGCCTTCATTGCTGCTGCAAGTAAGTTTGCAATTAGTGGAGCATTAGTATGCAAATGTAGGTTATATGAGGAAATTTTTTTTATGCAACAATAAAGACTGCATTGTTTTTGACAGAATTTAATGTAATGATTATTGTTCATACTTCATATACATATACATTTAGAGTGCTAATAAATATTTGATATCAGGTTTAATACATAGAATAGATAAATTTGGCTAAGAACTCACTGAATCACCCTCTTTATTGCAGAGCAAGATCGGTTGTTTCAGCGTGTAAATGAGATCCACAGTTTGGTTCATAAGCTGCCTAAGACAAATTTCACTGTTCTTAAGACCCTCGTTCAGCATTTAGTAAAGTAAGCCGTGGAATACAGTATCTGTGTTGTATTTTTATATATTTTTCATAATAGATCTCTTACATAATGAATATACTATGTTGTAATTGTTTTAGGTATTAGTTGACACCAAAGAGAATTGACTTAACATCTTTTTTCACAGTGTGTCCAGTAAGAGCGAAAAGAATTTGATGACTGTTAGTAATCTTGGTGTGTGCTTTGGGCCAACTTTACTGCGACCAGAAGAGGAGACTGTAGCTGCCATTATGGATATTAAGTTCTGCAATATTGTTGTTGAAATCCTCATTGAGCACTATGATAAGGTAACTGATGTTTACTAGTAGTAGGTCTCTCATTTGAATCAAGTGAATACATGATTTTTGTCCAGCAATTATTCTTGAAAGTTTAAAAGACTGTGAGTCAGGATTTATGAAAAGCTGAAATGTAAAAGTACTTTGAGTCCATATCAAAGGAAATGTTGATTCAAGTTATCTTTGAGATAATAGATTCCAGATAATGAATGGGCTTAAAAAAGTACATTGAAACTAATAACAATGGATCTTATTACCAGATATTTAATACTGTCCCGGAGCCTCTTGTGGATGTGAACAGAGTGACAGAGGGAAAGACCTCACCCAAATCATCTCCTCCTCCTTCAAATAACCACACCAGTGCTTCCCAGTCTTCTTCACATACGTACTCATCCTCTAATGCTTCAAAACATATGCCAGTCTTACAGGTGAGTTTAGGGTGGCGAGTTATGTGTACATGTATGGTACTGATGATACAAGGATTTTTCTTTTGTTTGTGTATTGCTGGATTTTGTGTTTGTGTATTGCTGGATTTTATTATTTGCATTATTGACAAGAGTTTGGATATGAAGATGAAACTTTAATACTATCTATTTTTTTGACAGAAGGTTGTGACATCCTTTACAACAAGTGAACCCCAGACAGTGCACTTTGGTGCACCATCAAGTCTTCCCCCGCACCTACAACGTTCAGATGCATCATCCAACCTCAAGACTCAGACAACACCCTCTGGGGTTGGGTCAGGTCTCCACACACATGTACCAAGTGTGTATGCAAATGTCCCACCTCCACCATCTGCTACACATCACTGGAGCAACTCACCTTCTTTGTCTAGTCTTAACTCTGGTATGTTTTTCTTAATCTTGATTTAATGTCTTTCTTTTTTATACTAGGGAAATCCAAGCCCAAGATTTGCTCTGTCTTTAGAAAACATTAATTGGATTAGAAATTTCTTCCCTTCATAATCAGATGATCATTTCAGACACCTAATATCTCACCATACCACTCTCATACCTTGATGACTTGAAAGGTGTAATCTGTTGCTCCTTCCAAACATTGGTCAGTTTTTCTTTTGTTTCATCCAGTTCCATAATGCTTATCATTCTATTTCATTGCTACACATCCAAACACGTCTGCCTGTTCTACACTTTTGATCTATAGTACCCAGCATGCATAATACAGTGCCTTGTGTGACGACTTCATACAAGTCTTTGTCCCGGTCCTTGATGCTTCTTGAATTTCTTCAGTAGGAACTAGATTTTGAATATGACATTTTGCCATATGCTGTACAAAATAATGCATTACTCATTTTTTCAATTTATTTTCCATTTGTAGGGAATTCTATGGATTTGTTAACCCACATTTTTTTCCAACCTTGGTATTTTTTTTATACAAATCTGCATTAGTACAAACATCATTTATGTTATCACAAATCATAATGTATTTCTTAATGACCTGTAGTGTCATGTAACACCTGCTTTTTGTTTATTAAAATTACTGAGTTTGTATTTAGTACTGAAAAAAACATTGAAAGAAATAGTTATAAATGCACTTGCAGTAATTGTACTTTGATAGTTACATGAGGTATAAGCAAAGACAGTTGTACTGGAAAATGACAAATTTTTCATGATTTGTACTTCCTTGCATGTAAGCCCGTGCTTTTGTGATAGAATGCCTATGTTTCAGGATGAGACATATATAATATCCAAAATCGTGGCATGATGAATAAGTTAGATGACTGAATTTAATTGGTTTGATAGCCTTCACTTCTAGTTTATACTGCAGTGAAAAACAAAAATCTTTAAGATGTAAATGTTTTGTCTACAAAAAACATAAGTAAGAAGAGTGAAATTTTGATTGAGTGTGTAGTTATTTCCACCATTTACCTGTTTTGGCATATTTTGTTGAGCATGGGATCTAGATTTTGACCTAATGCATTTCCTACACTTGTAATTTTACAATTTTGGTAATTATTTACCTGTCTGATAAGTACACAGGT